GTGGATTAGATAGCGTCGGCTAGCGTCGATTTTTCGTCGATTAGCGTCGATTCGCAAGAGCCGACAAGATGGTATGGGAGGCTCCCGTGAGTTGCCACCGAAGACTTGGACAAGCGGGAGCGGACCTCGGTGCGCGTGCAGAGCGCCCTGCCGCTGTCCCCGCAGATGCTGAGCGTCTCGTGGCAGCCAGCCCTACCTCGGGCCAGCCCTCTCCCCTGTCCAGAGATGGCTGCAACCAGGCGCGCTCCCCTGGTGGTCCGAGTGGTACCTCGGATGCGATGGAGCCAGCTCGATGTCGCGCGAGCCCGAAGGCTTTCGAGCAGCATGTGCCTGCCTCCTTCGCGCACTCGTCGGCCCTGGTGGCCTCCCCTTCCTTCTCGCGAGCGAGGAGGTTGCGACCCTTCTTCTTGGGATGCCGGATGACCTTCACGATCTCCGGGGAGCCCGGTGTCGGCATCTCAGCGCCTTCTCCGCCTCGCAGGTGCTCGCCTCCGACCCAAAACCGGCATACACAGAAACTTTTGGCGCCGGGCGCGGATCTCTTGGATCCGCGCTGGGCCCCCCCAGCGGCGCCTCCGGCGCCGCCCCTGGCGCGATCCGCACGCCAGGGCGGGGGGTCCGGCGCAGATCCAAGGAATCCGAGGCCCGAAAACCATAACGTCACTAATTTTGGGCCCACTGAGGCCCCAGGGGCCCCAGATTAGTGAAGTGATGTTTTTTCCCACGCAAGGACCCCGAAATTCATCACTTCACTAAACCGGACCCAGGACGGAAGTGAGGGGCCGAATTGATGCTGTGATGCAACATAGGTCTCGTAAGGAAGTCCGCGCGGAGCGCCAGACGTTCATGTCTACGGCGCTTTCAATGTTCTTTGATCACCACCGCCTCGTGGGAGCCCTCCTCTGCCGCGTGCGTGTGCCGGCCTCCGGCCCCTATATACGTGCTCTCGCGTCCGCCTCGGCCTCGCACAGAGGCGCGCGCCCCCGCCCCGCAGCGGCCATCTCGAGGGCGTGGTGTCACCTCCTCCTCCTCTTCCTCCCTCCTCCTCCTCCTCCTCCTCCTCCTCCTCCTCCTCCTCCTTCTTCTCCTCCTCCTCCTCCTCCGCCTCGCGGGTGCTCACCTGCACCCAGTTGGGCTCCGAGCACTTCTCTGCCCGGCGCGCGGGCGCGCGCGCGAGGCCCAGCCTGGATCCCTGGGCGCCTGCAGGCTCTGCGCCTTCTCGGTGGCCGGGCCGGCTTCGTCGCGCTGCCCCTCTTTTTCGGCGCCGCGCCTCCTTCGGAGCTGTCGTAGGCCCGCTCGGAGGGGGGGACGAGGAGGGGGGAGGACTTCTTAGAAGCACGCCTGCTTCTTAGAAGGCGCGGGCCTTCTCTAATGTGAGCATATGATTTAAAAAATACCCCACCCCCCCCCCCTCCCCCGGGGGGCCCTATCCGTGAAGAGTTGGGCGTACTACTAGAATCTGGGGGCCGAAACTGATTTTTTAATCGTCCCCCCCCAGCAACTTTAATCGTCCCCCCCCCTTTCCCCCTGAAGATTCTCGATTTTTCCAAGGAGGAGGAAGGGAGGAAGGAGGGAGGAGGGACGGAGGAGGGAGGAGGGAGGGAGGGGAGGGAGGAGGGAGGAGGGAGGGAGGAGGGAGGAGGGAGGGAGGGAGGAGGGAGGAGGGAGGAGGGAGGAGGCCTCACTCCTCTCCTCCCTCCCCCTAGGGAGAGGCCTCCTCCTCTCCTCCCTGCCTGCCTGCCCTGCAGCACCGAAGGGGCGCAGCGAGACGGAAAAGGAAGGCAGGACAGGGGGGAGGGGTGGGAGGCCACCGTCGTCCGAGAGGACGCCGTCCGAAAGGACGCCCTCCTCCCTCCCTCCTCCCTCCTCCTCCTTCCTCCCTCCGAGGAGGGAGGAAGGAGGGAGGCAAAAAAACAGTTGTTTTAATCGTCCCCCCCCTGCTCCTCCTTACCCCCGTCCCCGACGACTACTACTACTACTACTACTACTACTACTACTACTACTACTACTACTACTACTACTACTACTACTACTACTACTACTACTACTACTACTACTACTACTACTACTACTACTACTACTACTACTACTACTACTACTACTACTACTACTACTACTACTACTACTACTACTACTACTACTGACTACTACTACTACTACTACTACTACTACTACTACTACTACTACTACTACTACTACTACTACTACTACTACTACTACTACTACTACTACTACTACTACTACTACTACTACTACTACTACTACTACTACTACTACTACTACTACTACTACTACTACTACTACTACTACAGGGAGGAGGGAGGGAGGGAGGAGGGAGGAGGGAGGAGGGAGGAGGGAGGAGACAGGAGGGAGGGAGGAGGGAGGAGGAATTGAGGGAGGAGGGAGGCCGGAGGGAGGAGGGAGGAAGGAGGGGCGGAAGGAGGAGGGAGGAGGGAAGGGCCGACCCCCCCCGCTCCGAATTGCCTGCCCTCGCCCCCCCCCTGGCCCTCCAGACGGCCCGGGGGGCAACCATAATTGTCCCCCGGAGAACTTTATTTGTTCGCCCTGGGGGGGCCCTCCGTGGGCGGCGCCCCCTCCCCCCCTTATGTGGGCCCAACCAGGCCGGCGAAATTATTTTTTAAAACGTCCGCCCTCAAATGTTTTTTTAATCATATGCCTTCATTACAGATGTGAGGCCAGCGCCTTCCAGGAAGCAGCCTGCTTCTGAGAAGCCCTCCCCCCTCCCCCCACCCTCTTGTGCGCGCCGCCAAGCTGTCGTAGGCCCGCTCGGCCTCATCCTCGAGGCAGTCGTGGCTCCGCTCCTCCTCCCTCCTCCCCCCTCGCCACGATACGCTGTACTGGGTGGGGGGGGGGGCGCATGTGGACGGCAGCACTGGGACCTTCGGTGGGGCTCCCGATGGTGGACACATGGCGCTGCTCCCTTTCCTCCTCGAGGCTGTCGGTCCACCCAGCTGCCGGTCGCCAGGCCTGAGGGAGGGGAGACCAGCCGAGGTCAGTCCCGCCCGTCCTCGCCTGGGACGTTGAGGTGGCTGTGGCCGGCGTGGCCTAGTTTCGCGAACCACCAGTGCTACTGGTGCATCTCCTACCTGCGGAGGCTTAGCGGCAGACGCCGTGCCCGAGACCGAGAGCAACGGCAACTCTCAGGCAGACGGTGTACTGTGTAAGACACGGGCTCCTACCACGCCCGAAGGACATGATTATGATCATCACCGCTGCCGCCTAGAACAGTGTGTATGGTTACGCCGACGCCGCCGAGATGAACTACGACGAGCCGCGTACCAAGCATCTAGCACCCGAAGGAGACGGGCTGCGTGACAAGCAGCCAGGTTTTCATGGTCATCGTGGCAGTAACATTGGCGACCGCAATTACAGCAATTACGACCGCGAGCAAAGCAGCTCCTACGGCCACCGTGCGTACGGCAACTGCGACAGCGAGTGCCGCAAGTACGCTATCATAGAGGTGGCCTCACAGGGAGCAAACGGGCCCCTGCACTGCACCGCCGTCCAGATCTACGATGCCCATCTTAGCTACGTCGGGCCCCAGGACAACAACTTTCAGTTCCATCACGGCTACCACGGCCGCCACTGCCCCCTTTGGTTACATCCAGACCTTCAAGAACATGAGACTTTCCGCGGGCCAAGATGAAGCACATTCGAGGGTTACCTCCCCCAAGATGCACCAGAACATCCAACGAACACGACGAACATCACGGTACCCTCCCCCGGACCGACCTTGATCTTATACCTCGGTCCGATGTGCACGGCCACCTGTCTTACGGCCACGCAGGCTACGGTGGCCACGCCGCTCGGACCGCCGAAGGTTTATGTTTGTGGCGTTAGTTGGTCTTCTAGATAGGCTCGTGGAAGGGATGACTCGACTCGGCACGAACGAAATGGGTACGGAAAGAATGGGTACGCTGCCCAGTAGCAGTTCCTGTTCATTTTATTTTGAACCGGACGCGCTGTCCGCGCCGCCGCGGCCTGTGTCCATTTGTGTGCCCACTTGAGGCAACTGTTGCCCCAAACCAATCGCGGCCGCTGTTGGTTCGGGACAACATGTGTTGTTAGGCATTGTGCCAATTATTGTCCATTTGAAACCAATGTTGCCCCAATCTATCAGCGGCCGTTGTTGGTTGGGAACAACGTGTGTGGTTAGGCATTGTGCCCATTCTTTCAATGCACAGTTCGGGCGTCCAGATCGACTCCCCATCCATGGCCTATCGCAGAGCCATCGGCGACCTGTCGCCGATCCCAGGCCCCCCTCAATCCTACGACAGCCGCTCGGCGGCTCCGGCGAGGGGTCGGCGCTCGGGCACGAGCGTCTTTGGTTGGGGGGGCGAGGGCCCTCTCCGGGAACGTCCTGGATCATCTTTTAAGTCGGGCCTGTCCCCCTGCAGGGGGATTTTTGACGAACAAATAAAAAATACCCCAAGCATAATCACAAACTAATCCAAAAATAGTCAGGGGACAATTTTTTTGTATTATTCTCCTTTGGGGGGCATTTTTAGGGTATTTTTTTTTTCGTCGAAATTCCCCTTGTAGGGGGACGCGCCTGACATAAATCATCTTTCGAAAACTTCACGCACGAAATTGGACCATACACCGGGAGTGGACATCCGAGCGATGGCGAGAGGCCGGGCCCTCCTCGCGCATTGGAAGCCTCCAAGGCCATCACGCGGGTCCCTCGCCTTCTGAGAGTCCCCGCAGCCCCCTTGGAAGGCCGCATCCCTCGCGCCATCCCCTTGTGGTCGCCTCCAAACCTCGAGTATGGGATCGACTCCAGAATCTCGATCTACCCCAAAGCTGGTTCGTTCGTCGAACCTGCAAACACATATGTTCGATGTTTGCACGTGTACCGAGTATTCGATTGGCGCCAGTGGAAAAACAATTATGCAGCCGATCCCCGACTCGAAGACCACGCCGACGACCACGACGACGCACCACGGAGGCGGCGGCGGCGCCCGCGCTCGCGCCCGCAGGCAGCTTCGAGGGGCTCCTGGACGCCGGCTTAGGGCCGCCGCCGCCCCCGGACGCAGAGGTGACCAGGACCGTGCGGTGGCAGGGGGGGCGGACCAGGACCCTTCTCTCCTTCTCTCTCTTCCTCCCCTGCTGGGGTCGAGCCTTACGTTTTTGGTCCAGGCGCCCCTCTCTCCACTCCCCCCTAGGTCGTTCTGATGCCTCGTGTCTTGCATGTTGCTTCTCACCTTTTCCCTGATGCGCCCCCGCCTCCCCGCTTTGCTCAGCCGCGGGGAGGTGGCAGGACAGGTCTGCACGGCTACAGGATCACCTTCATCAGCCATGAGTCAGTCAGTCGGGACCCGTACCCCGGCATCGCTCGGACGTGTGCATATTCTCGCGGCGAAGACCATCGAGAAGCCGCTCGGGTCATCTTGCGAGAGAAAACGAGGCGCACGCCGCCGAGCCACGCACGGGGGATGGGCGTCCGATCGTTGGTGGGCTTCGGGCTGCGACGAAATCGCGGCGGAGGGCTTTGGGCGGGGCTCGCCCTGGCACAACGAAGAGCCGCAACCACGACTCTGTGGATTTTTCGGGAGGTCCCTTCTGGGAAGAACCCACCGACCTCGACAGGAGCATTTTGAAGGTAGTTGCGGTTGATTTGGCCGTCCTGGGACGCCACATCGACCACCACCAGCTTCAAATTGGCTTCTGAGTTCTGACGAATGTTGGCCGCGAGAGACATCCCCCAGGGTGTGTCCTCGATGTGTTTGTGGTCGCTTGCTGCCCCCGCAGTTCAGCAGCCGGGTTGCGCGGCCGTCAAAAAAGTTTTCGCGGACTGCGAATCCAGTCTCGCGGGATGGGGATCAGTCGGGGAGAAGGGGTCCAGACCTCGCAGTCTCCACTGTGGGAGACGCTGCGCCACCTGGCCGGATCACGCGACGGAGGTGGGGACGCATGTCTGGCTGCAGGGGGGACGAAGAGCACGACCGAACGACCGGAGTCATGCCTTCTCCTCTTCGCCCGATTGCGTCCAATCACCATCCCGCCCCTCCCCTCCCTCTCGCATCCCTCCCGCGCCCACCTCTGCCTCTCCCTCCATCCCGCCCCCCACGCATCCCCCCCCTGAGCCCGTTGTAGCGCTCGTCGACTAATGTGGGAGCTCTGACCTGCGAGTCTCTCCCGGCTGTCTCGATCATTCTGTCCCTCGCCCCTCCCTCGGATCCTCTGTCGACGGCAGCGACCCCGTCGACCGACCCACGACCACGACCACCACGACCACGGCCACGACCCCCACCCCACCCCGTCCCGCCTGCCCAACCCTCCCTCCTGCCCCACCCCCCTCCGACGACGGCGGCGACACCGGCGACCACCACGGCCACGGCTACGATTATGATATTCCAACCTACTCTAGCCTTGAACACCTTAAGAATTTCGAGTGCCGAAAAAAAAGTACCGAAACTCAAGGGTTTTCACGTGTCGGGCCCTGGAAGACTCTCGCCCGACACTGTTTCGACACTGTTTCGACACTCGTTATGACCCTTTTCTGGGTGCTCGCAATTATTTCTGGAATGTGGTCCTTAAGTAGGATGGGAACAACGTAAGGCTACGACGAGCCCTGAGATCCGCCGCTGCGAAGAAACTGCAGCGTCGCGCAAAGAATCTCGAACGGCCCCGGGCGCCGCCTTGCTGCTGCCTTCCTCGAGCCGGGTCAAGCTACGATGGTCCTGGGGCCGGGGAGTGGGCGAGAGCGCCCAGTGTGCGAAAATCGCAGGGCTCAGACTGCGGGGACCACGACGACCGCGGCCCCAGCCCCTGACCACCACGACGGCGACGGCGACCGCCACGACGGCGGCGACCGCGACCGCGAAGGCCGCGACGACCACGGCCACGGCGCCGAGAGGCCAGGACCGCGAAGCCGGCCCGCGCACCCGCGGCCCCGCAGGACGCTCGAGCTCGGGCGGCGGCGGCGTGCGGAGCGGCGGTCGCGGCTCTGCCTCGCGCACGAGGAGCGCCTCCGTTCCGCCCGCGGCCGCGCCCACGTTCGGCGGGGAGGTGCGAGGGGGGGAGAAGTTCGACGGGGAACGGAGAGCCCAGTTCTGACCCAATAGTCAGCAGGCGTCCGAGAGGAGCGCTGTCCGTCAGCGGCTGTTCCCAGATCTCCGACGACATTTGCTTCGGCGGCGCCCACAATGGGGTAGCGCGAAGGGGACCCCCTCGCGGCACCTCCCTGCGGGCGCCGCCAATCATTAATTCTTGGCGTTTGTCGGCTCGGGTTGCGCTCGAGAAGCCGTGCCTCGCCGAGAGCGTTCCGGGGGTGCCCAGATCGTTCCGAACAGCCGCCAGAGGCCTGAGATATTCGTGCGCCCCGAAAGCAAACTGGGAAGGGGTCCCGAGGGAAACGGGTCCTGCGGTTTTGCACCGTTGGGGCGCTCTTGGGGCACTGGCGGGGCCATCGGGTCAGCAGACAGCGGCTCAGGATGCGAAGGTGGTCCTGGGGGAATGCCCCACGGGTCCAGGCCCCGCTTCTCTCAGGATCCCTTTTCTTTCATGCCGTAAGGAGTCCCGCCGTCGCAGCGGTCGTCCTCGGAGCGTCGCCGCACGTCGGCTTCATCGTCGTCGGCGTCGGCGTCGGCGTCGGCGTCGGCGAGGGCGGCAGCGGCGGCGTTGGCGTCGGCGTCGGCATCGGCGTCGGCGTCGGCATCGGCGTCGGCGCCATCGGCGTCGGCGCCGTCGGCGTCTGCGTCGGCGTCGTCGTCGTCGGCATTGTCGTCGGCGTCGGCGTCGGCGCCGTCGTCGGCGTCGTCGTCGGCCTCGGCGTCGTCGTCGGCCTCGGCGTCGGCATCGTCGTCGTCGTCGTCGGCGTCGTCGTCGTCGGTGTCGTCGACGGCGTCGGCGTCGTCGTCGGTGGACGCGTCGGCGTCGGCGTCGGCGTCGGCGTTGGGTTCGGAGTCGGCGTCGTCGTCGACGTCGGCGTCGGCGTCGGCGTCGTCGGCGTCGGCGTCGGCGTCGGCGTCGGCGTCGGCGTCGGCGGCGTCGGCGTCGTCGTCGTTGGCGTCGGCGTCGGCGTCGGTGTCAACGACGGCGTCGTTGTCGGCTTCGGCGTCGGCGTCGGCGTGGCGTCGGCGCGTCGTCGTCGTCGGCGTCGGCATCGTCTTCGGCCTCGTCGTCGTCGTCGGCGTCACCGTCGGCGTCGTCGTCGGCGTCGGCGTCGGCATCGTCTTCGGCCTCGGCGTCGGCGTCGGCGCCATCGTCGGCGTCGGCGTCGGCGTCGGCGTCGGCTTCGTCGTCGTCGTCGGCGTCGTCGTCGTCGGCGTCGGGATTGACGTCGGCGTCGTCGTCGGCAGCGTCGGCGTCGGCGTCGGCGTCGGCGTCGGCGTCGGCGTCGTCGGCGGCGTCGGCGTCGGCGTCGCCGGCGTCGGCGTCGTCATCGGCGTCGGCGTTTGCGTCGGCGTCGGCGGCGTCGGCGTCGGCGTTTTCGTCGGCGTCGGCGTCGTCGTCGGCGTCAGCGCCAGCGTCAGCTTCGGCGTCGGCGTCGGCGTCGTCGGCGGCGCCATCGGGGGCTACGACGACGGCGGCATCGACGGCGGCAATGGGCCCCTCGTGGGAAGGTGGCGCCACGACAAGTGCGGCAGGCTTCGGCGCCGTCTTCGTCGGAGGGAGGGGGTCGGGGGGGTCCGAGGCTGGGATCGGTGCGTCCACCGTCTGAGGACCCGATCCTCCCTGACCTCGCGGTTGTGGGAATGAGTTCAAAGCGTGCGTTTTTTTTTTTCATATATATATATAAAGATATATACATATATACATATATATCATATATATAGAAATATATAGATATATGTATGTAGGGATGTAGGTGTATTTGCAGATGTACATTGGCTACGGCGTATGTATATTACTGCGTATGTATGTATATAGATGTGTGTGCGGGGGGGTATGCACATGTCCATGTATGCCAATGTGGATATATGTATATGTGTTTGTGCATGTGCATAAACGTGTACACGTGTATGTACACTTATGTATACATTTATATAAATATATAGAGAGATGGTCGTAACCACTGGGGTCTAGTTCTGTTCCGCCCAAGCCCCCCCCCTTGAGGCCGCTGAGAGGAGGGCGCACGCAGGATCGCGGAAGCGCTCGCGCAGAAAGCGGGGGCGCGGGGGATGTTTCTCAGCATGTGGGGGGTTCCCTTGAAGGCACCATCGGAGAAGTTTTCTCCCTCTTCCCGCATTTAAGATACACATTCCTCTTCTTATATTTTTACAAGCCCGGGGGGGGGGGGAAACCGTCCCCCCCCCAAGAAAAAAGTGGATCCCTGGGATCCGGGGTTCTCGGGCTCCCTTGGACGTCCTTGGAAAAGGTCACCCGGCTTTCCGGGTCTCCACAAACGCCTTGCCAGCAGACCCAGAGCGATCAGAGGGGTCATCAGAAAGGCTCAAGGGAGGCCCCAGACAGCACAAGAGCGCTCCAAGAGGGACTCCAACTGCTTCAGGACGGCCCAAAAGACCCCCAAGGCACCCCAGAAAGCTTTCCAAGGGGCCTTCAAAATACAATAATCGTCTCATTCCTTCGTAAAACTTACAAGTTTAGCATATTCGCCTGTCGGATTTCATCAGCTTTCAAGACGGCTTCAAAGCCCCCGAGATCGCCTCAACACGCCCCAATACGCCCCCAAGAAAGCTTCAAGACGGCCGAGCCGGGCCCCACGATCGCCCACGAGAGCCCCAAGACAGCCCATAATGGACCCAAGAGGCCCCCCAAGGGCTCCCAGCACAGACCCAAAAGGGCCATAGGAGGTCCCCGGAAGTACCCAAGATGGGTCCAAAGGGGGCTCCAGCGGGCCCAAGCTCCCCAAGACGGCCCAAGAAGGCCCCAGGACAGCCCATGAAGGCGCCAAAACAGCCCACGAGGGCCCCGAAAACACCCCCATGATGTTTCCGAATGCCAATATTCATTGATTTTGCGCCCATGACATTCCACATTGTGACCCAGTCGTTGAGGGTTCCGTGGCATGCAGCGAAAATGCCCGAGGATGCCCCCAACAACTTTCACAAGATGATCGTGAGGCCTCCAGGGGTCCCAGAAGCCCCTGAGAGGCAATCGACTCCTACGCGCGCATCCCCTTGGATTGGCAATCTACATATATATATATATACATACATATATATATGCATATACCTATACACATATATATATATACACACACATGGGCGTGCACCGACAAAGCACGTACGAGTTGCATATGCATGTTCATACCCTTGCACACATCCATCTATATGTACATATGTACGCTGTACACACAGACAGCAATGTAATTATATTGTATACACCTAGACATATACACGCAACGTGCATGTGCGTGCGCGTGTATACATGCATTCGTGCATATACGCATGCACGCATTCCGCTTGCGTGCGGAACTCAAAGGACCACGGTGCATGGCGCGCAGCGCCAATGCAGTCGTGTATGTATGATTATGTGTATATATACATATATATATATATATGTACGCATATATATATATATATATATATATATGAGCGCATTTGTGTATGTGATTGCAGACATGGGCACGTCCAGATCTATACATGTATCTTATACCAGCACTCGCAATCCCTTTTGCATCGTCCCCCGGCTCTGGTTTTTTAGGCGCCTTTTTCGTAACAGGGGGTGTCTGGTTTATTACGGCGTTCTCTTTACATCGGAGTTTAGGGGGGTCCGGTTTATTAAGGCGCTTTTTGGCAATCATTGCTCAGCTAGTTCTGCATGCAGTATTGGCGTTTTCGCGGCCGTTGCTGCGGATCACCACCATCATCGGCATCTGCGGCGGCGGCGATGGTAGCGCCATGGCCATGTGAATCACGACGGCGTCGACGCGCTATTTTTGCGACGGCGGCTTTCCCAAGTACAGAGGTCCGCGTCTCAGCCCCCAACCTCGCATTACAACCCGTTGCCATCACATTCACCTCCCGCCCGACAATTTCAAACACAATTGCTGTTTCGCTGAGGGGGGGTCCCGAATATTGAGGCGTCCTCTTGAAGTTGGGGAGGGGTCCAGAATATTAGGCCGCATTTGCAGGGGTGTCAGGCTGTTTTTTGGAGGGGTCGATTAATAAGGGATTTCGACTAAGCATGCGTCTTCAGACACGTGTGCATTCATATACATGCGTGGGTATATGCATGCAGGTGCATAAACACCTCATGTGCACACATACGCAGCTAGAAAGAGAGAGGGCGACGACCACACTATGATCATAGACATCAAAAAGGAACAGACCATGTGGTGGTAGAGGTAAAATGAACGATACTCATAGACAAAGAGACAGCGAGAGGGAGACAAATGTGCATCCATTATATATATATAGGAAACAACGATCTATGGGGCGATAACGAGAGATACAGAAGAGAGTTCGGAAACTAAGGCGATAACATAAAGAGCTGAAAGGTGAATGCACAGACAGAGGCATACGTATGTGTGTATATATATAAGCATGTCGAGTGATGGGCGGTCATTGCCGCCGCAGGAGTCCGGCGGCCCGACGATACCATGCACTTGCTGCGACCGGTCCGCGCCCAAGGCGCTCGGGCGATCCCTTCGCCGCCGCCGTGATGAAAAGGGGTCTTGAACAGGGGACGAGGAGGCGAAGGGGGATTGCAGCATTGCAGCGGGAGCACCACGTTGAAACATTGAAAGCCAGTGTAGCACTCATGACCGACCCCTTTCCTCCCCTTCCTCAGGACCCCTCCCCTCCACTCTTCCCGTCCTTCGCCGCCGCCTTCGGGGGGAAGGGGTCTCGCAAACGATTTCCCTCCCTCGAACATAAGGCACAAACATAAACTGTCGGAGGTCCGCGAGAATTTCTTTGATCTGTGCTGGGCCCCCCTGGCGCCGCCACTAGCTCCGCTCCTGGCGCTTTTCCCGCGCGCCAGGGAGGGAGGTCCAGCGCCGATCCAAGAAAGGCGCGCGGACAGTTTATGTTTATGCCGGTTGTTGCTTGTTCGCCTCCTATGCAGGCCTACCAGGTAGAGTCCGAGCATATTCAGAGGGACGATATTTCCTGGCGCGCGGAATGCGCCAGGGGCAGCGCCAGAGGCGCAGCGCCGATCCAAGAAATCCGCGCGGACATCCAACATGTTGGGTGGAGGCGGTGGTTTCTTGTTCTGCTCCCCCCCAGGTCGCCCCCCAGCGTTTGGCACCCCCCCCAAAAAGAGGAGCTCGGCGATACACCCCCAGGGGGACTGCTCGGACACATCCCTGTCGAGGACAGACGCCCATTTCCACCGTGCACCCTTGAGTTGAGCCCCACCCTGTTTACCAAGCGGAGGCCTCACAGAGTCGGTGCACGGGGCTCCTTGTGTTTCGGAACGTCTGCGGCCGCTCCGGGCCCCCCCTCGGGATCCGAAGCTGGCCCCGGGGGGGAAGCCCCTGGGGTCCAGGAGCCGCTTCTGCCGGGAGCCGTGCCCGTCATGCCGGCCCCGTGCCCCTCGATAATTTTATGTTTTCTCCTTCTCATCCCCCATAGCGCATAGCGAGCGTGATGCCACCTGTCATCCCCACCCCCCTTCCCCACCCTCATCACGGAACGCCCGTCCCCAGTGCGTCCACACGGTCTGCGGTGCCAGACCTACACGGCGGGGGAGGGAGCGTTAGGTTGTGCCTCTTCCTTCCCCCTCTAAAACGCCCGGTATCGCGGCGGATAGAACAATGTTCTCTTGCTGCGGAGGCATGGTCGAGGGATCGAGGATCTCATTTTTCGGCCTCCAGGAGAGCTCCAGAGACATACAGTGGACCTCCTGCTCCTGTCCCCCAGCGTCATGATTCTCCTCGTCGCCCTGGTCCTCCCTTCCTCCTCCGAGCAGGCCGAGTTCAAAGACCAAGCGGCGGGTTTGAGGAAGGTCCTCGTCCTCTCATCCTCCTCTTTCCCCTGCGCCCCCCCTCATCCTCAGGAGCGAGAGAAGTCAAGGGAGGGAAAACCACCCGGACCGGACAGCTGGCATTTATTCAACGGCCCTGGGCGTTTATGAAACAGATCTGCCCTGTTTGATTCTTTTGCGTGCGTTTACTAAACGGCGATTATCTGCCTTCTGAGAAGGACGTACAGGTCCGCGAGTCCACGTGGGTTTCGGGAGTGCGCATGGCAAGAACTTTCGTACCGCGCTGCTGGTCTCGCGGACCAGGGGGCGTGTTCGTGTGCGTGGTGAGGCGCGTGATTACGTCCTTTCTGCGGGTCCCCTAATTACCTCTCATGGCGCCAACATCGCAGAACGGATTTCGTTCGGAAAACGATCGGATGGGCCCGGAGTGTCCTGGATCATTTCGTTCTGGAGTTCGAGGTGAATTTCGTGCTAATTTTATGTGACCAGGAATGCAGACCAAAATGAATCCACGCGAAATTCACCTCGTTTTTCACTCGCTGCTTCAGGCGAACATCCACGCAGAAAACCACGCAGAAATCTGCTGCAGCACGTCTGCAAGGCCGGTGTGATGATACGTCCACCTCCGATCTGTATTCGGCGCCCTCAGCTCTTTCCTCCCGTGGTGGCCAATGCAGGGCGGAGCCGCCTCGTCGCTGCAGCCATCGAACCCAGAAAGGGCGCGCGCCTTCTCATCCAGGGTACCCTCGTGCCCCTGCCTCCGCGGCCCGTTCTTCGCCGTATCATTTTGCCGCCCGCCGCCCAACAAGTCCCAGCTTCGGCCTCCAAGGGTCTTGCGTCCTTCCCACCCGTCCTCAGCACACGTTCTGGCCGTACAGTGAGCGGCTTGAATAAGGAACACTTACTTTTCAAAAGGGGCTCGGTCGTTCCTTAGGTTTGCATGCGTTATTTACAGTTCCTTATGCGTTATTTGTTATCTCACGTTCCTTATGCGTTATTCCTTGGGATAAAAAAGGGGCTTCGTTCCTTATTTATCGTTCCTTAGGTCAGGCCGATGACTGTACCGCGCGCCTCGTCGAGCCTCCTGGCTCTCCGGACCGAGTCCCAGAGTGTCCGCCTGCGCCTCCCTCCCTTGCCCCTGTCATCGCTCGGACGTGTGCATTTTTTCTTGGCGAGGACCCTCGAGGAGCATCCTCGATTATTTGGCGAAAACACCACGCACGAAACCTCAAAACACACAGGGAATGGACGTCCGAGCGATGGCCAGTGCCCCTCCCCCCCTGGCAGCACGCATGGCTTAGGATGCAGCTCCCTGCTGCCGTGATCGATCACCGGCCCGATTTCTCTCCATCCAGCCTGAACATCGGGGGCGGAAAAGAGGGGGGTGATGACTAGGGGGGGTGGATCTCATGGCGGGGGCCATGATATTTCCCCAGATTTCATGGCGCCTCGTCTTATTTCATTACGTCCCTGGCCCCCCCGCTGGGCCGCGCACATGCCGCCGGTCATGATTTGCACCCCCCACTCTTGGGAACCCCCTTCTGGGTCTTGGCTAATATCCCAGCCAATCTGGTGTAGTGGTCTGCAGTCGGCCCTGATGAGGAGTTCGACCATGCAGAATCGAGGGTGTCCCTGTGCCCTGTTTATCCCGACCTATGCACCCGCGTGTCCTCTGTCGGAAGCTGAAACATGCACATTACCGATGGCGGGCTGTATTTCAATCTCTAGACTTTCGAGGGTCGGGACGACGTCAGGCTGGTGTGGGGCGGGACACAGATCCATGTCCACGGGATCGCGGTCGGAACTCCTCGGCCGCGACCCCATGGATGCGGGGCGGTTTTGCCCGGATGCCCCGCTCGGAAGGTATCTATCGGATCGCGTATCCGCGGGCTCGCGCCTTGGAAAGTCACGCCGCGAGGGCGTGGGTATGTCGGGGGCGGACAGAACCCCCAACAGTGACACGTCGATTAGTGAATTGTCCGTTTTCGGTTCTCGAGAGGGCGCCGTGGCCGTTATTTTCCAGGCTTGCGCCCGCCAGGTTTGGGCCTCAGGTCGTTTTCACTAAACCACGTTTTACTAAAGGGGGGTCTGTCCATCCCCGAGTATGGATGCTTTCGTCGCTCGTGGTCCTGCTGCCTAGGGCCCCCCGGCGCCCTGCCGCTGGGGGCGGAGGCCTCCGGCCAGCCCCGCTTCTCTCCTGCCATGGGCGGCGGCTGCGGGGGGGAAGTGAGAGGGAGAATGTCTTCTCAGAAGGCGGCCGGGCTCCTCAGATGCGGGCAATAGTTATATCCACATCCAGTGCGTCTTGGAGCTTTGGGCTCTCTTCCCCAGAAACCGGAGGCGCACTGGATATCGATACACATCTTGCCCCAGAAGATTCGATTTTTATTCATATCCAGTGTGCCTCGGCCTTGCGGCACTCCTTCCCAACAAGTGCACGACGCTTTGGATATGGGTATTAGTATTGCCCGCATCAGAGGTTCTCCGGCCTTCTGAGAGGTGTTCTCCTGTCTTCGGGGAGCCGCCGGGGCGAGCGAAGTGGGCACGGAAAGACCGGGTGCGAGGGCCGACAGCAGATGTTGTGCCTTGTGAACGGCATTCGCTGTCCGCATCGCCGCGGCTGTTGTCTATTTGAGGCAGAAGGCCGCCTGCCCAACAGCGGCCCTCTGGGTTTCGGACACCGTTTGTTGTTGGGTATTGTACCCACTTTTTACGCACCCATTTCGGGCTTTAAAGGAGAAGTTTCTAGGCCGGGGAATCTCGGGGTCTCTCCCGAGAAGCCTTTCTCCTTCTCGGTTCCTCCCACTCGCCCGCCGCTGACTCCTGCCACGAGCAGCGGCCATATCCGTATCCGAGCCCTCGCGGTCCGCACTTCGGGGCGCGATCCCGCGGACACGCGGTCTCGCGTAGGGGGTTTCGCGCGGGGCGTTCGCGAAGCCACGCCCCGCATCCTTTGGGTCGCGGCCCAGGGGTGCTAACCCCCGAGGCCGCGGACAGAGGCAGGTCTTCCGCACACCATCCCGGGGAAGGTGGAGGTTTGCGGAGGGGAGAGGAGGGGCAGCAGCAGGTCTCAGAGGGGGGAGAGATGCCGATGCCGTTGCTCGTCCTGGAGAGCCCTCGTCGCCACGGCTGGACACTCCTCGACATTCTGGTCGGGATGCACGGCACCTTTTTGCCTCTACCCACCCCCACCCAAGGTTCGGGACGATCGAAATGGGTACAGAGAGAATGGGTGTGATGCCCAACAGCAGTTCCTGTTCATTCTGAACAGGACTCGTTGTTCGCGCCGCCGCGGACGTTGTTCTTTGAAGACAAAAAAGCTGCCTGCCCAACAGCGGCCGCTGTCGGTTGTGGACAACATTTGTTGTTGGGTATTGAGCCCATGTTTTCCGTACCCATTTCGGGCCTCCAACACGGTCGGCGGCGAGCCAAGGGGGGAAAGCAATGGGGAGCCGGCCGCGACTTCGGAGAAGGCCGACGTGCCTGTGAGAGGGTCCGCCGCCCCTGAGAAGGGTTGCTCCCCTTTCGGCCCCCCCCTTGGCGCATCGTCGAGCAGGACCCTGGAGGAGGAAAAACACGCAGACACAAAGAACCGTCGATCCCCAAGAAGAGAGTTGGAACTCTGGGGGGTTCGGGGGGCAAGACGAACATCCAGAAAGTATTACAAGACATGGGTGATCTGCTTTTTTTTGTTTTCTGTGTGCCCCTCGGCCCCTTCCAAGACGAGGGGAGCCCTTGTCAGCTCGCCTCCTGCTTGTCGCTGTTCTCTCAGCGGCTCGTCGGTCCCGCGCTTCGCCTCTGTCTCGTGAGCCGGCTGCTCGCCTATAGCCATCGTCGGGGCGCAGGCCGAGCAAGACGAATCGAGGACGGAGTCGCCAGTTCTTTTCTCGAGGAAGGAATTGTTGATTTCTCTCCAGTCTAACTTGGATCGGACAGGCCATGGGCTTGGCCACGTTGGGAGGTCTCGAAATTCTGCGTCGGCTGGGACCGAGTGCTGGCATAGGTGCACACACAAAGAGGACATAGCATATGGAGGAAGGGCGGAAGGGACGCAGGCAGGAAGGACTTGGATCTGGAGGAGGAGGAGCATATGGAGGAAGGGCGGAAGGGACGCAGGCAGGAAGGACTTGGATCTGGAGGAGGAGGAGGAGAAGGGAGCAGGACACGCAGTAGAGGTCAGGCGGAGCAGGCACGAGGTGGTGTGCCAAGAAGCGGCAATCATGACGCAGCGAGGCACATGTCAAGCCCATGGCGGCATGTTCAAGCAGCGACCGTGCCAATTTTGCAGACTCCGTGACCCTGTTAGCCGCCAGCAGACAGCACGGCCTGGAGATCAGTCGTGATCCATGCGGGTAGTTTGTATGTACGCGCGCCCGCGAAAGACTCACCACCCACCAAACCACCCCAACCCAACCCGACGGCCTCAATTTGCCCTCCATTTCCAGTGGGGGGGGGTCTGGGAACGTCGAACAAACACATATGTAACCCATACACCTCCCACCCGAAATTCTGGTCTTCGGTTGGGGTTGGTGTGGTCCGGTGGGTAGTCAGACACCAGTTGCCACTGCACCATATCGCGCCGTTCAGGCATGCGTGGCTTCCTTCTGGCGGGCGTGCACTCACACATGCTCTGGGCGTAGCTTCAGCCGTTCACCCAAGTAGGTTTCCTCCTGGAGGGGGGTGGATGTGGCGGTGGGGCCTCCGTGCCAGGTGCTCTCCGTACCGCCGTCGATGCGAGCTTCTGCCCGCACTGCATACTCGCAGGCGTCCAATGATTGCATATCCTCCTCTTGGGCTTCGTCCTCCTCCGCCTCCGTCCGCCCCCTCTTCTCTCTCCCCATTCTTCACCTCCTCCCCTCCTCGTCATCTTACTCCCTTCCGCACATCCCCCCTCTTCTTTTCCTTTCGTCTTCCTTTCCGTTCGCGCGGTGTCCTCCCCCCCCTTCTCCCCATCTTTCGCCTCCTCTTGCCTCCTCTCCCTCCTCCCCCTCTTATATATATATATATATATATATATATATATCCCGGGGGACGAGGTCCCCTGGCCGAGCCCAAGGACCTCGGGGGCGCATGGGGGTGCAGGGCCCCCGGGGCCGCTCGGAAGGGTTCCCGTTCGGCTCCAGAGACCGCCAGGGCGGGCTCCAGCCCAGCCAAGACAGCCCGCGAGCGCTCCAACACGCGCCAGCATGGCTTCCAGACGAGCCCAGCGGCCACCAACACGCCCCAAGCGGCCTCCAAGACGCCTCCCAAGAGAGCCCCAAGAGGCAAACAAGTTGTTTTTTTTCATTGGTTTTTTCAATGTTTTTTGTCTTCTCGCTTTTCCTGCTTTCCGACGCTCCAAGACGGCCCAAGAGGCCCCCAAGAGAGCCCCAGGACGGCCCAAGAGGCCCCTAAGCCGGCCCCAAGACGGCCCAAGAAGCCCCCAAAGGCGTCCCGAGACGGCCCAAAAGGCCCCCAGGACGGCCCAGGAGCCGCCCAAGACAGCTCCAGGAGGGCCCCGCCATGGCCTGAAGACTGCCTAAGCGAGCCCAGCGGACCTCCAACACGCGCCAGCATGGCCTCCAGTCCAGACGAGGCCAGAAGCCAGCAACACCCCCCAAGCGGCCTGCAAGAGGCCTCCCAAGGAGCCCCAAGAGGCCACAAACGTTGATGTTTCATTGTTTTCTCGATGTGTTTTGCCTTCTCGCTTTTTCTGTTTTGCGACGCTCCCAGACGGCCCAAGAGGCACCCAAGACAGCCCCAGGACGGCCCAAGAGGCCCCCGAGCCCGCCCCAAGACAGCCCAAGAGGCCCCCAAAGGCGTCCCAAGATGGCCCAAGTGAGCCCCAAGACAACCCAGGAGCCGCTCAAGACAGCCCCAGGAGGGCCCCGACATGGCCTGACGACTGCCTAAAAGGCCAGCGAGCCTCCAACACGCGCCAGCATGGCCTCCAGACGAGCCCACAGGCCACCAACACGCCCCAAGCGGCCCCCAAGAGGCCTCCCAAGAGAACCCCAAGAGGCCACAAACGCTGACTTGTCATTGGTTCTTTCGATGTTTTTCGCGTTCTTGCTTTTTTGCTTTCCGACGCTCCAAGACGGCCCAAGAGGCCCCCAAGAGAGCCCCAGGACGGCCCAAGAAACCCTTAAGCCTGGCCCAAGACGGCCCAAGACGCCCCCAAAGGCGTCCCAAGACGGGGCCCCGACATGGCCTCAATATTGCCTAAGCGAGCCCAGCGGACCCCAAGAGAGCCCAGGGATATATGTGTATATGTGTACATGTGTGTATATATATATATATATATATATATATATATATATCCCTGGGGGGCAGGCCCGGGGCCCACAAACAGGTGCCTCGACCCCCCACGGGAGGACGGGGCGGCCGGGGAGGTCCAGAATAGTCCAGGAGGCCTCCAGAGGCTCCCTAGACGGCCCGCGGGCCCCGAGTCGCCGAAAGACCGCTCCAGGACGCCCAAGATAGGCCCAAGACGGCCCGAGAGGCGCCCCAAGGCACTCCACGACGCTTCAAGACGACTCTCCAGAGCGCTTCAAAAGGCCGAAATCGTCAATTTTACAAAACGGTTTTGGAACGATTTTGGCCTTTCCGCCTGCTCGGCTGTCCGACGTTCCAAGACGGCTCAATAAGCCCCCAAGAGCGCCCCAAGACAGCCCAAGAGGGCCCCAAGACGGCCCCAGAGGCGCCCAAAACAGCCCAAGAGAGCCCCAAGACGGCCCCAAGATGCGCCCAAGAGGGGGACCACGACTGCGAAATTCTTTACGCTTCGCGTATCCCCACCAGCCCATCTCACAACAGCAACTCTTGCGAAGCATGCCGACAGTCGTGTTTTTCAGGCGTGTTTCCGCCTGCCCCCGCATATCTCCCCTGTTCCTCCTTCCTCCCGCCTCCTTGTACATCCTCCTTGTGGTGGGAGCGGGAGAAGGACGAGGCGGAGGAGGAGGGAGAGAAAGCGCTCCTCGTGGTTTGAGTCGTTTGGGGTTTCTTGTCCTGGTGTGAGTCGTTCGGGCCCTTCTTCCTGGTGTGAATCGTTCGGGCTCTTCGTGATGTGAGTCGTTCGGGCTCTTCGTCCTGGTGTGAGTCGTTCGGGCTTCTCGTGGTGTGAGTTGTTCGGGCCCCTCGTCGTCGTGTGAGTCGTTCGGGCCCCTCCTCCTGGTGTGACTCGTTCGGGCTCCTCGTGGTGTGAGTCGTTCGGGGCCCTCGTCGTGGTGTGAGTCGTTTTGGGAGCCTCTTGGAGGCCTTTTGGGGCGTCTTCGGGGCCTCTTGGCGGCCCCAGGGGCTTCTAGGAGCGTCTTGGGTGCCTTGGGGGAGCCTCTTCGGGCCTCTTGGGAGCCTCTTGGAGGCCGTTTGGGGCGTCTTGGGGGCCTCTTGGCGGCTCCAGGGGCTTCCAGGAGCGTGGTGGGTGCCTCGGGGGAGCCTCTTGGGGCCTCTTGGGCGCCTCTTGGGGGCATCTTGGGGGCCTCTTGGAGGCCTCTTGGGGGCCCTTGGAGGCCTCTTGGAGGCCTCTTGGAGGGGTCTGGGAGGAATATTGGGGCCATCTGTCGGGCGATCGATCACAGATGGGGGGAGCACTTTTCTCCCTCCCCCCGTCGGGGCCAGAATCCTCGTGAGGGGTGTCGTTTTTTAGCCCTCCGAGGAGTCGAACAAGACCCCTCCTGCGACCCGCGGAGGGACCTCTCCAGGCCAAGGGGGAGGGGGTAGGGGGAGGGGTAAACCCCTCCCCGAAGGGGAAGAAGGGGGGTTGAGAACAGAGCGGGCTCTCTAAACCACTCACGCCCAAAGGGCTGGTGGGATTTGACCCTCCCGCTTGAATAGTGCCCAGGAGGCCCCAAGGAGCCCCCAAGAGGCCCCAGGAGGCCCCCGAAAGTCACCCAGGAGGCCCAAACAAGGCTTCGAGAGGCCAGAAAACAAACTCGAGGAGGCCCCACCACGGTCCCAAAACGGCTACCCAGAAGCTACCATCAGGCCCATCCAAGCCCGCAGAGACAGGCGGGCCTCCCCAGCCACATGATTTTGTCGGTCCTCGGGTCGCGGCGTGTCGTGCCGCCTCAACCGCGCTCCTTTGGCGGGCCGATCCCCCTCTTCCTCCCCTTCCTTTTCCTCCTCCTCCTCCTCCTCCTCCTCCTGCTCCTGCTCCTCCCCCTCCTGCTCCTCATCTTCCTCCTCCTCCTCCTCCTCCTTCTCATCCTCCTCCTCCTGCTCCTGCTCTCCCACCTCCTCCTCCTCCTCCTCCTCCTCTTCCTCCTCCTCCTCCTCCTCCTCCTCCTCCTCCTCCTTTCCTCTTCTTCCTCCTCCTCCTCCTCCTCCTCCTCTTCCTCTTCTTCCGTCAAGGAACGTCTCAGGATGAAGAGCCGTCCCCGGGGAAAGGGTCGGGACTTCGGGGGCCGCGTATTGACAAAATCAGGACGTCGCATGTCTGTGCTATCCACGTCCCAGTTCCCGCGCGTCGGCGTCCCGAGGATCGCAGCGACACGCTATCCACTCGCGTGGGCCGTAGCGTGTCGCCAGGGCCGCCCTCGCGACATGCGACAGAGACGTTCCCGGCCGTAGCCTTGGAGGTGGGGCGGAGGGGGGGGGTCAGGGCCTAAGTTGGGCCCCGTTTTGGAGCCTGACCCCCCATTGGGTGTTTTAATCGTGCTCCGCCTCTGGTTTCTGTGTTTCACGTGGTACCGCCGTGGAGCCCTGGGTTTTTGGTCCTGGGCTGAAGGTCGCGGACCGTCCCTTGGGAGAGTTCTTGCGTGGACGTCGGCTGTGGTAGGGTTTCACGAGACCCACCGCTCTGTCGCACGCTGAGGACACTGAGGAGCCGAGGAACGCTGCGAGCTACGTCGCTCAGAGTCTGGCCACTGCAATACCCAGACATCTGGCGCTCCAGTCTTTCTGATGCGTGGACCCCCAGAGGTCTGGCCACCTTCCCTACGGCCAGTTTTTCAGCGTGAGTCGTTGCCTGACGGTCCCGGGGCCCGTTGATAGCCCCCTGAGGTCGACAACGGACAAACTCCCGTGCGCCCGCGCGCCTCGCCGCTTTTGTCCGCCCCTCGCCGTCCTCGACCTCGGCCTCTGTCGCTTTGGGCGAGCCCTAGCTGACCAAAGATGACCGCCGACAAATCCCCAGAGAACCACGAAAAAAGAGGCTCCAAGAGGCCCCGAATAGGCCCCCAGGAAGCCCCAACCTCCAGTCCCAGGCTTTGGCGTGCCCCCGAGTGCCTTTCTGTTTCCCTCATCCCTCGTTGTCCGTTCTTCTGGATATCTCTCTTGTTATTGGGTGGCTTGCGGCTCACGTTCCACATCCTTCTCTTTTCTCCCCGCCTCCCTCCTCCCCGCTGCGTCCCTTTCCCTCATTCCTCCACCTCGTCTCTCCTTCACGCCTTCTTCTATCCGCCTCCCTCATGCTGTTTCGGCCCCTCCATCCCTCATCCCCATCTCTCCGTCACTTCTTCCTCCCTCCGCCTCCCTCGCCCAGCATCCTGCACCACCATGTGGTAGGAGACCCAGCTTGACAACAAAAGGGGAAATCCTCAAACCCTTTTTTTCAACGTCTCCCCCCTTTGTTTCCTCCTGTCCCAGAATTTTGCGTGCCCCCGAGTGCGTTTCCGCTTCCCCCCAGCACTCGCCGCCTTTTCTCCTTGATCATTATTTCTTGCTCTTGGTTTTCCTGCGCCTCCCGTTTCACATCCACCTCCTATCTCGCCTCTTCTCTCCTCCCCCCTGTGTCATTTTCCTTCCTACCTCTCTCAGCCTCCCTCATGCGTTTCCGTCTTCCACAC